CCACACCCTGGCCCCAAAGTCTATTTTTGGTACTCCCTCGGGATTTCCTTGCTCTGCTCCCTTTGCTGTTCTGTCGCATGCCCTTAGTGTTTTGCCTCGGTGTGGTGAGGTCAGATCGGGTGCAGTTCCTGCACTGTGTCTCCATTGTTGTCCCCTGGAGGGCTATGGGTCAACGAGGGATCCTGTCTCATAGTGGGGCCGGCCATATGGTCCTCTCTGTGCATTGACTGTGCTGAGTGGGGATATAGTCCTCAAGGCTTGGTGGGCCCTTGCTGGCTATTTTTAATTCATAGTGCAGACACTGAAAATTGTCCAGAACAAATATTAAAAAAAGAAAACTTCTATCTAGTTTTAGCATCACTCAACCTAATGCTTTTGGTATTTGTGTATCGATAGTTCATATTCATTTTGATACTAAATAGTGTTCTTATGAAGAAACTATGATTTATTTGTCCATTTATCTGTTTGGTGGACATTTGTTATAGCCAGTTGGAGCTAGTGTGAGTAAAGCTATTAGGAATAAACTTTCAGGTAGACATTTGTGCTTTCATTGATCTTGGGTGTATTACCAGGAATAGAATTGCGCCTTCTGAACTGTTCTCCATTATGTTTTTACCATTTTATAATCCCTCTGGGAGTTCTAGTTGTCCCATATCTGCACCAACATTTGACGTCTCTTTATTTTAGTGATTCCTGTGGCTGTGGCATGACATTTCACTGTGGTTTTAATTTGTATTTTCATATTGCCTCATGAGGCTGGGCCTCTTTTCCTGTGCTAATTAGCTATTTCTGTATTGGGTGTGTGTATATAAAGTCAATTCGGGGGTTTATTTTTGTGGGTGAATAGAGAGGGGAAGACTTTAAACCAGTCTAGGAGTTCCTGGTTATTTACCAGAAGCCAAAATGACCCAGGAGCCTGTTTGTCAGAGATCAATATCCACCAGCTCAATAACTCCGAAAATCACGGATTCACAGTATGAAACGGAAGATTTTTTTAGAGACTTCCAGAGACCCTGTGTCAGTCTGGGTACTTTAGAGAAACAAATCCACAGAAACTCATGTATAAAAGAGAGTTTTATATAAAGGTTAGGTGCACATCAAGAAAACATTCCAACCCAGTGCTGCCCAAGCCCACAAGTCCAACATTAACCCAAATGTCCAACACCAATCCCCAAAGTCCTCTTCCATCTCACAAAACACACACAATGATGCCGACTGCAGGAGGAAAGCTGAATCAGTGAAAGTGTAAGCATCTCAGCGCTGGCAGGGGTCTCCACACGGCTGCTCCAGGGCTGCATCATGGTAGGTCCATGTGGCTTCTTCTTGGGTGGGGATGTCTTACAGGAAGTGAGCCTTGCAAGCTGAAGCAGAGAACTGCTAAGGCAGCTGCACCCTGGTCCAACCATCACAAAGTAAGAGACCCGAGAACTCGAAAGGCGAGGCTCATGGAGCCATTTATCCCTCTATCCTCAATTAACCCCACATGTGTTTATCGGCTAGGTTGGTATAATACACTTTAACTATATCAGACCCCTAAAATCTAAACTGTACTTCCATACCTGTGAAGACGTTGCACAGAACTGTACACACACTGGCACACACACAAACATACACATACATAATGAGTACATGTAAAACTGGCGACACGTGGTAAGGTCTGTAGATTGTACCAATATCAATTTCCTGGCTCGATGTTGCCCGGTGGTTGTTCCTCAGAGGTGGTGCTGCCAGGGAAAGTGGGCGAAGGGCACACGGAACCTCTCTGTCTGTGCAGCTGTTGTGATTTTCCCAGAGTCTATAATTATTTCAAAAAACTTAAGTAAAAAAAAAGAACAACAGCAAATTGAATCTTGCTAAGAAAACAGCATTGTGTGAGGTGCTTCGGATACGCAGGTAAATGAAGGCACAATCATTGCTGCAGCACAAGAGCCTGGCGTTTTTTGGGGAAAGACGGAGAAGTAGAGAGACACTTTGAGCACTCTGGTGGAGGTAAGCTGGGGCCTGGGAGAATCTTCGTGTGAGCGCAGTGCAGATTGGGAGTAAGGTCAGGAAAGCGTCCCAGAAGGATTGGTTAGCTAATTTTAGAAGTGCTGGACATGTGGGAAGACTTTGGGACTATGTGTGGACTCCTGGGGCGTCTGTGGAGCTGAACTCTTTCGGGAGCCTTTTGTCCCTGTTGGCTGAAGTCATCTGGCCGCAATGGCCGGTGGCCAGGACTCCAGACTGCACTTATCTGTCACTTTTTCTCCGCAGTGTCCAACAAGCACCCATTTGTGGACAGCAATCTTCTCTACCAGTTCAGAATGAACTTCCGGCGGCGGCGAAGGCTGATGGAGCTGCTCAGTGAAAAGTCCCTCTCCCCTCAGGAGGCTCACGACAGTCCCTTCTGCCTGAGGAAACAGAGTCATGACAATCGGAAATCTACCAGCTTTATGTCAGGTATGCTGCCAGTTCCGTGGCGTGATCAGATTTCCCTGACTTTTGAAAAATGGCAGAGTAATAGCTCACCTTTGAAAAACTCTGTTCTCTAGTAAAATGTTAGTGTCCTCATCAGCAAGAAGTACGCCCAAACCCGCTTTGTTTCTCAGCAGCAAGTCTAGATGCCATGAAGTCTGTTTTAGTGGGGCGCTGGTTCTAATTATGTGCTTGAATTATTGTAGACTCTCTCATCCCTTTGCTCAAGACTTATTTAATGTTCACCTCAAACAGTTCTGACCACGACCAGAAACTAATCCAGCTGCTGTTGAGTTGATTCTGATTCATAACAACCCTAATTAGGGCAGAGGAGATGGCGTTGGCCACCAAGGCTCCCAAGGCTATAGCTCTGTGGCAGCAGTGGCCTCATCCTTCTCCCATGGAGTGGCTGGCGTGTTCGAACCCCTGACCTTTTGGTTAGCAGCCAAGAGCTTTCGTCCCTGTGCTATCAGAGCTCCTCACAAACAGGTCTTACTTATTCATTATCCAGTTTTCTAAGATATATCGTTGAGTTGTTATATACTTGAAGGATAAATCAAGGCTTTCTGGGGGCATAGCCAGAGGTCCTAGTCCCCTCAGGGTTACGAGGTCAGTGGCTGAGAAACAAGTTAGTGGTTCCAGCCCGTGTAGCCCAACACTGACCAGCCTGGACCATCCTCACGTCCACTGCTGTTGGGACCAACCCGCTGTCGATCGAGACCTCCGCCCCGCTCCCTGAGGTCGTTTCTTCTTTGGTTGTTGACTCTCTGCTAAGCTTGATGTCCTTCTCCAGGGACTGGCTCCTCCGAATTCCATACCCAAAGCACGGGGCAGGAAGTCTCACCAGCCTTGCTTTGAAGGGGCCTTCTGGCTATTTGTTTGCTCTTCTGGCCGTCCACCCATTTTCAAGACTC